TGCTACACATACATGGTGCAGCATTCTTCAGATAAAATAGTCTATATATATATATATATACATATATTCAAGATTATTATTATTATTATTATTATTATTATTATTATTATTATTGGCGCCATTGGATTCAATAATCTGCTATATCTATTGCTTTGCCATCTAGATAGGTGAATAGGACCTACTTGTAAGTCCAAGTCCAAGTCCAAGCATTATATACATATAATGGTTTTGCGACAGCTATTACTTATATATAATGAAATGTAAAAACAGTTATTTATAAATAATGAGTTTGAAGTCAATTCGTTATTTATATATAATAATATATATAAATAATTATAAGTTATTTTTCATTATTTATACATAATGATGTGTTACCCCTTCCTTATTTATATATAATGAAGCCAGTAATCATTATTTATATATAATGAAATGTAAAAGCAGTTATTTGTAATAATAATGAGTTTGAAGTCAATTCGTTATTTATATATAATGAAATCAGTGAACTTATTACATATAAATAATTTTGTTAAAAAATAAGTTGCTTTTCATTTATATATAATGATTTTTTACCTTTTTATTTTTTATATATAAAGTAATTAGCGAACTTAATATATATAAATAATCTTTGGTTAGCCTTTTATTATTTATATATAATGTAATCCATAAACTAATTATATATAAATAATGAAACGTTAACGCAATTATTTACATATAATCTTTTAGACGTAAATGCATTATATATAAATAATGGGTGATCTATTCAATTATATGTTAAATAATGAATTATATATAAATAATTTTGTTAAATAATAAATTTACATTTGGCGCCTCATACATTTGTACCCCTAGCTATCCGAAATGAAATAGTAGACTCCAAACAGACGTGGTGCGGTTATGGAGATCGAACATGACCGAAGCCTGTTTTTGGCATACTTTTAATGTATGCAAAAACACAAGAACACGGTTTATCATGTGTACTTGATCATGTTGGTGGTAAGTTTCATTAATTCATATTGTTTTTTTTATTACAATGAAGTTCACGAATATATACATCAATAATTACAACAAAAATTCGAAAAAGTCTACTTTAATAATAGGATTGGGAAAGAAAGAGGCCAAAAAGTGTAGGTTAGGCTAGCCTATAGCTAGCCTAGTCCTAGGTGCTAGGCCGGTGAGTGTCACTAGGGTGTTCGATCATTTCGGCCGCCAAGCCAAATGTATGGAACGCCAAAACGACCGCCGAATACACAGCAGCCGTCGATGAGAAGAACGTAGTCATACAACAGTTGGATACGATACATCAGTCAGTAACAAAACGGAGACAATATGTAAGCCTAGGCCTAAAGTGAATAATTAAATTCTTAATTATTAATATTAATTATTTACCAGTACTTATAAAAACATAACGTTAAAACAGTACAGTCTGTATCAATACATTTGATGTTCATACGTTAGATTTATTTTTCTTGCGTGATAATGAATAAAGTATGTCATTCATACATTTGTTGATTTTGTTTGATGGTTGAGACAGTACAGTAGGCCAAAATAATTAAGAATTTATATACCGGTATAAAAACATAACATATAAAACCAAGAATATTAAAACTATACCGTATTTGTTTTTATGTACAACTATGATGACATTTCGTTTGTTAATATGTTTGAATTTTTGATAAATTTTTTCTTGTGTGTTGACATGTTATTCACGCAAAAATATTTACTGTATAGTACCGGTATCAACTTTATTTCGTCACTTGTAGACATACCTACCAAGTCTCCCGCATTTGGCGGGAGACTCCCGCTTTTTGCCCTAACCTCCAGCTCTCCCGCCACTAGCCTAAAATCTCCAGCTTTTCTAATAATCTCAAGATTTTTTATTAAAACCCACAATTTAATACAAAAATATCCAAAACGTGACAATTCTGTAGTTTTATAAGGCATATAAAATTTACGAAAGTTCTATCGCTTCGCGAAAATACATGCCGTTCCGATAGTAAACAATGTATTTGTGTAAAATTAACACTGGTGGCGCTGTACACATTACGTCATTTCTATTTTAACTTTACGACCGCCATCATGCATATCAATACTTTCAGCGAACCAGAATCCACGATGGTTTTACTGGCGAAAATAGGGTCTTGGCTGCGCTTATCATCATTGATGCATCATCCAAATCCAAAATGTCGGACAGTGATGTTTCAAGCAGCAATGAGGCGGCTGCACCTGGTTCATCAAAGACAAATGCAAAAATGATACGCCAAAAAAAAAAGTACAAAACCAAATTGAATAAGCAGTGGTGCAAAAAATGGCCATTCATCTCAGCTGTTAGTCACAATGACTACAGTTTTCGATGTAACGTATGCGGAACAGAGTATAGTTGCCAACACCAAGGGGAAGGAGATGTGAAACGGCATATCTCTCGCGATGCAAATAAGAGAAATGCACAAGCCAGAATGGGTCAGAAAACAATGAAATCAATGTTTGGGGCAGATCAACCATTGGTTGAAAAGGTAATACTAATAAATTAATTATTGAATTTTAATTATATAGGCCCAGGGCTAGACCTACTTTTTATTTTGTGATATTTTACAATCACTAGTGCTAGCTAGAGAGAGTGCAATAAGTGTTTTATTTCAAACAGGTATACTATAGTATATAGCCCAGCCTATAGAAGCCGGACCATTTTACATTACATAAACAGAAATCCAGTAGAATTAGGCTACTTCGTCTTCGACTTCGGTGTGTATTTTACTATCTAAGGTGACCGACCTTAGGTTTGGCACTGGCTTACTTACCCTTACACCACCCTAGCCATAAGTATAGGACCTAGTTTGAATAAACTTATTTTTGTTACAATTGATAGTCAAATTAAATAATAATACAGTTGAGAATATATTATTTTATTAATTAATACTGAATTTTACAACTTCGTACTCCGTACTGTTAATTAGTATTACATAGGTAGTGTATATAGTCATATTTAAATAATCAGCTGATGATGTAAATGTAGAGATTTTCATCTTCATTAAAATTTCTTTATAAACAATTATCAGGGTTTGATATTCTGTTTACTACTTTCACTTTCTTTCAGGTCACTCGTGCTGAAATGAAAGTAGCCACCATGTTGGTTAGGAACAACATACCTCTTGCGTTATCAGACGAGCTTACTCCCTTATTTTATGATATATTTCCTGATAGTGAAATAGCAAAAAGATTTTCATCTAGAAGAACCAAAACAGCTTGCATGATAAATGGTGCAATTGCTCCTCACTACAAGGCATCACTAATTGACATCATGAAAAATGGGCCATTTTCTGTCTCCACTGATGGGTCGAGTGACACAGGGGTCGAAAAAATGAATCCAATGACTGTTAGGATCTTTGATGTCAACCGCGGATGTGTCGCAACGCAGTTTTTGGATATGTGCATGTCATCTCGATCCACTGCTGAAGCATTGTTTAATACAATGGATGAGGTACTAAAAACACATTCACTGTCATGGAAGAACTGTGTTGGAATAGGTCTTGACAACACTTCGGTAAATATGGGATGTAGAAATTCCATAAAGACAAGACTTTTAAAAGAGAATGACGCTGCTTATGTGATGGGATGCCCATGTCATATTATTCATAATACGGCTGGAAAGGCAGGAGAGGCTTTTCATAGGGTATGTGCATATGTTGAAAATATATAAAAATAAATAATAAGAAGTATTCTATCATTTTATAAGGTATGTGCATTTTATTTAATAAGCTTTTGAAGAATTATTAGAATGTATAAAACTAAATAATATGAAGTATTCTATCATTGAACAGGTTACAGGCTTCAGTGTTGATGATATGTTGGTCGACATTTTTTATTGGTTTGATAAAGCACCAAACGGAAAGCATCTCTACAGGAATATTGCGAGTTTTGTGATACCAGCTATCGAACTATAATAAAACATGTTAACACTAGATGGCTTAGTTTGGAGAGAGCAGTCAGTCGTACACTCCAACAATATGCAGCACTTAGGAGCTACTTTCAGTCAGAACGTAAGTTTCTCACAATTTCACTTACAACTGAAAAAAAATAGTATAAAATAGTAATTACTGTACAGTACTGACAATTTTAAATAACATGATCAACTAAGACGATTGGTAATTTTCTGTTAATATATTATGTTCTTTTTATTTCAAGATGACAATTTGTTCACTGGCATGGTCACCAAAACGCACTTAAGACAACTACTTGATAGTGATGTAAGTCCTTCACAAGCATCAAAGTACTACAATGGTGTAAGGGCATTCTATGAAACCGCCTGGCAGTATGCGCTGACCAACCTGCCTATTAAAGATGATGTATTAAGCAATGCTAAATTCACCAATGTGCTAACAAGAGAAAATCTTTTCAGCCAAGTGGAATATTTTGTGAATCGGTAAATATAATTTGTATATTATAACATACTGCTATAATTACAGTTAAACATATTGTAACTTTGTAACTGAAACAGATATATTTTATTTTGGCAGCTTTAAAGAACTTCTCCCTTATTCAACCCCAGAACAGTTTGACAAACTGGCTGAGGAATTTACAGACTACCAGCTGTTAGACATACCTGAAGCTGTATTGAAAGAGGCAAAAATAGAAGAAGATGGTATTACGCAGTATAGAATAGATAGGATATGGCATAGTATTTCAAACATGAAAACTGTTGAAGGAACAAGTAGGTTTCCTCGTCTAGTGAATGTTGCTAAGCTGGTCCTTGTAATACCACATTCAAATGCAGAGGAAGAGAGAATATTCTCTATGGTCAGGAAAAACAAAACATCATTCCGCTCCAATCTAGACCCAAAGGGTACACTCTCAAGTATCCTAACCGTCAAGCTGGCACAACACTTACCTGTCCATGCCTATGAAACACCAACAGAAATTTTGAAGAAAGCTAAGGGTGCAACTTGGGCATACAACCAGTTACATTCATCAAAAGAGAGCAAATGATGCTTCAGCCTCTCTTTTACACAATCTCCTTTCCTGTTTAACTTGTTTTACCAAAAGAATTGTTTGTCAAATGTAAAACGTGTATTTGAGTATTTTGAAAATTTTGTTGAAAAAAATAAATAAAGTTAAGAGTTTTAACACTGAAATAAAGCTATAGAATTTTATTTTTCAAAAAATGTTAGTATATATTACCCCATTTTTAAGATTTAATTTAAGCACTAGAGATCTGCTCAGAGTGCACCAGAGAGCATCTAGGCCTAAAAATTTCCGGAGGCCTAAAAATTTTCGGGGCCCTAGGAGGGCCCTCGACCCACGCCTAAATTGTTTCGTTCCTGTGCAAATCTCCATCCACAGCCAAACTCAAACTTGGCATGTATGTGTAGATATGTTTGTATTTTGGTTTTATTTTTATTGTTGAGAATTGGTGAATAAAATGAGAACATATTTTACACATGCGCCTTGTGTTTTATGTACAACTCTGATGACATGAATAATATACTGCCCCGCCAATAATGATTTAGAGTTCCATAATAAAATTAATTTTTTGATTTCGTTTGATGGTTTATTTAATGTATAGTATACAACTTCATTTTGTTTGTTGATATGTTTGAACTTCAGATTTATTTTCCTTGCATGATAGCATGTTATTCACGCAAAAATGAAGGATGATATGTATAGCTTATACTCGTCGGGGAAGTTATGGTCGAATAAATAAATGAAAGATGAAATGTATATATGTTTTATGTACAACTTTGATGACATGAATACAAAATATACGGTAGTGTCCGCCGATAATGAAAGATGAAATGTATATATGTTTTATGTACAACTTTGATGACATGAATACAAAATATACGGTAGTGTCCGCCGATAATGAAAGACGAAATGTATATATGTTTTACGTAAAACTTTGATGACATTAATGCAAAAAATATAACAGTTATAAAATGGCAGGCAACTTGTAAAACAAATCACTTATCAACCAAAAATGAACAACGACGAATGTATCCAGTGCCAACTTCCCGTAACACAAGATGAAGAGGCTGTTCTTTGCGAGGAATGCGACCGGTGGCAACATCGTACATGCGACTCAGGAGTTTCACGAGAACAGTATATGGCTGCTGTGGAGAATGGCTCATTGGATTGGGTGTGTTTCGAGTGCAGAGAGGATGTCGGGTTGTATGCTGCAGACCTGGGAGAATTTGAGGAACCAGTGGAACAACAAGACGTTGACTTGGTAGATCGTCAACCTCCACCTCAGCCGTTATTGCTCCCAGACGACGTTGTCCGTTCTTCGCGGTACAACTAGCCGTGGAAAGGTAAATACACTTATTTTGAATAATTTATTTATTTTAGCTTTAGCTTTTTAATGCAAGTAAATAAATGCATTATTTACATGTTACATGTTATATATATTTTTCATTTCAGGACATGTTGGTTGACAGCATAGGATACCAATACAACAAGAAAGTCGATAAAAGGCGTGCAGATGTTACGTGGCGATGTTCTGTCAGATCCAAGACCGTGATGTGTAGAGCAACTGTGTTGGAGAGGAATGGAGAATTTGTAAGAGGGTCGCAGAGACACATTTGCACAGCCGAACCATGTACAGTATAACATTAAATTACAATAAATACTTTTTCATGTTTAAAACGATTGTCTTTTGCTATCTGGTCATCCGCATCATCAGCAAAACGTATAAGCGGGCAGGAAGCATAATTGGTTCTGACTACTTTCGCATTATCATCCTTTATATTTTAACGTGTTTTCTCCCTTTAAATTTTCTGCAGGTAGAGAAGCAGTAGCATTGTTACGACGTGACATTAAAGCATCAGCTATTGCGCGACCGTTTGATTCTGCAGCTGAGATAATTGAACAGGTAAGACAATATGCATACTATTTTACATTCGTCAAACTATAGTTATTTATAGCTACAATATTGCAATTCGATTAACAGATTATTTATTTTGTCTTGCAGAATTTAATAAAAGAGGAATTAAAATAAAATAAACACTTTGTTATAAAAATTGTTCTTTTCAATTGCATTATATGTATGTTGCTTTTATTTCTTCTTGCAGGCTCTACGTGATGACATCGGAAGAGGGAACATAGCCATGCACCCAACGCTCCCTAAGCCTGTAAACCTTGCCCAACAAGCAAATCGGAAGAGGAAACTGACACGACTAAGACAACCCGCCGACCTCAACTTTGTACTGGATGAGGAACATGTAGCACCAGGATTCTTCCAGCGTGATATAAAAGTAGATGGACTCCGTCACATAATGTTCGCGACAGAAGACATGCTGGGACCCGAACGGTTATCAAGAGGTGTATGGCACTGCCGCTACTACCACACGAGCATATACCTGCAGTTTTGAAGACATTGTGCAAACTGGTAGAAATTCTCCACCAATAATGAGACCTCTAGAATACTACAGGTCAACATGGATCGCTGTAACTGTATTCACGCCGCCCGACTGGACCTGCTACAATCAGTGCATTAGGACCAACAACGACCTGGAAGTTTGGCATTACCGCCTAAACCACCGAGGAAGACGAGGTAAGATATTAAAATAAAAAATGTTAATTTTAACTATGCTAACACTGTGGAACTAACTACCAAAATGCATCATAAAAAAAAACATGAATGAAAATAGCCTCTTACAAAAGAACTAAACAGATGAAAAGACATCATTGTTGTATTCCTGTTGTTTGACTAAGAGTACTATTAAGTTGAAGACAACACCCATAAATTATTGTCTAATAAGATTGGACTTTGAATATATAAATGAAATGATTGAAATATTATTATACATACACAATTCCTTATCTCTTTCAGCCAACCTCCAATTCTATGTCATGTGTATGTTAATGTACGAAGAGGCAGTGACAGTGTCCATAACAGTGTATGTAAAAATAATGAATGTAATGAATATAATAAACATGGATAATCATAATCATGATGACATTAATAAATACTGAAATATGTTTACTTGATTACTATATATAACTTGTATACTCATACACTTAATGTATCTACATAATTAACTAAACATTATCATGTGTTAAATGAAATATTTATGTAAATTTGCTTATTTTTGTATATATGCTTTATTATGTAAGTTTCAATAAATGAAGACTATACCAGTTTAAATTTTGGTTTATAGTATTTTTTGCGAGACTTGTAGTGAGGTGTTTCAATACAATATATACTGTACCGCCATGATTAATATTTACGAAAACGTATATAATTATATAAATTATAACAACAAACATATATATTAACCATTAATCAAACTAGTTTCAGACAGAATTTATTTTCCTCATCCTCATTAGCCAACATATGTTTATAACATTCCAAAGATAAAAAAGTACAAAATTACATTTCTGTAAGTATAGTGACACACAACTCATTACGACTATCATCAGTTATTACTATATAGGTAATCAACTACAACTAGACCTTCGTGCTACTGAAAAATACTACAGGTATAACAATTTAGGCCTAAGCATAATATTTAGGTTATCATTAGGCGTTTATATTTTATTAACCACAAAAATAAATAAATATACCTAATGAAAAATGCGTAGTAGGCCTAGGCCTAAGCATGCATTACATACAAATATGTAGGCCTATACTTACAGACAGAAAGTTAAATAAAAAACGGAGAGAGATTATTATTTGCCTACGCTTATTAAGCTTCCGCATCCTGCAACAACCACACTACCAACGGAACTGTGTTGGCGTGCCATACTTTCTATTGTTCAAAATCTGGCGGCCGAAATGATTTGAGACCGTAGGTAATTGGCTAAGCTACTCCTCCTAGGCCTATCCTAACGGGTATTGGCTAACCCGTACACAAACCAACTCGTATCGTAGCCACTTTTTTGGCTAACCCATACACAAATTTTGGTCTACCCTTACCCATGTCAGTCATTCATGTTTGATTAACCCGTACACATGCCATTTTGAGCAATACGTACCCAAATTTCCAAAAGAACTTGTTAACCATGTTATAGCACATACATAGCTATAATTGTTGGTTTAGTTTATGGTACTTTGTTTTTGTTTCGCATTTCGGTCGCGGTGTATGGATCGCTGAATGTGCGACTGCGTACTAGGCCTACAACATGGTAGCTAAGCAGTCCAGTATACTGTTTGTTTGTTAAACATGAAACTATACTAACTAACAATAATTATGTGGTATGTGGTAGTAAGAAAGGTTTATTATTATACAGCACTACAGTGTAGGCATGAGCAAACCCACTTGCCTGATGCCTGAGACAAGTGTTTTTTTACGGTCAGACAACAAGTCAGGCTTACTTAAACGTGCCTACCTAGGCTAACCGGTCAGGAGGGGAGCCATGGGTAATATCTGTCTGTCCGGGGAAAATGAAACATGTGGTGGGGCTGAGATGGGCCCTCTCCCCCAACCCAGACTTTTTTACTTCTATTATAAAATAAATAATATTTACTTAGAAAAGGTAAATGAATTTAAATTACTTGGTGTTTTTATAAATAATAAACTTTCATGCTATACACAAGTAAATTATATTTGTTCTAAATCATCACAATTACTAGGTTTTATTAATAAGTGTAATAAAAATATGTCATGGGCTGTAATGTTAAATCTATATAAAGCATTGATTCTTCCAATTATTACTTATTGTTGTGCGATGTGGGCACCAGGTGACAAAACTAATATTAATAGAATTGAAAGCATCCAACGTAGAGCCACCAGAATAATTATGTTTAAAAAAGATGGTGACTGGGACACACATTATGAAGATAGACTGAAAACGCTTAGAAGATATTTTTAAATATCACCGGCTTGTTCTTGGTTTCAAAGTTCTTCATAATGTGTGTCCCCCAACATTAACAGAGTTTGTTCATAAGTGTGAGTGTTGTGAGGGTAGGCTTATTCACTAGAAAGCCAAAAGCAATATTTTTCATAATTCTGCTTTCGTGTCCTTTCCCAGGCTCTGGGAATAACTACCTCCTCTACTTCAAAACTCTGTTAATGTTTCCTGTTTTAAGAATAATTTAATTAAGCATTTTATTTCATTTTATGTTTCTGATTTAGTTCTGATTGTTTTTGTGTATTTCATTTTATATGAAGGATAAGGAGCAAATATTGTTCGGGCTTTCGCCCATTCCCTATCCGGGCAATGCATGATGTTTTTTCTCCTATATGCTTTTTGCCCCTATATGCTTTTTGCCAAATAAATATTATTATTATTTAATTGGCAGAGTCCAAATGTCAGGATGTAAAGTTAGGGCTGCGCATTGAATATATCCTCTGCACAGAAATTTGGCATAGACTTATGTCCATGTATTCGGAAAATATGGGTCAATTTCCGCCCATATTTTGCTGAAAACTAGGTTTTGACCTAATCTTAATATATAACCAAGACTGTAAAGTAAGGCCTGTGCTGGGAGTTTATCCACTGCACAAAAATTAGGCCTGGAAATACATTCGTTTTTTGCCAAAAATTTGGCTCTCACCTAATCCTAATAATATATCAATGTATTAATTATGCAGTAGTTATGATTCTGCGCATCTAGTATTTTGCTAGCGTTTTTCCGCTCAAATTTTGGCTAATTTTTTATGTATCATCGGCGCAATTAAAATATGTTACAGTATGTAACAAAATATGTTTGGACCTGTAGGTATATTGAGACAATGCTTGGAAAACAGAAAAATTCATGAACAAATTTGTGATACTTATTTCAAAATTACATTTCTAGTCCAAGCTATAGGGTTTTTTTCTTTTTTTTTTTCTTTCAGATTCTGGCTGGAAAGTGGTGGCACATACTTTTAGCATCCAGAGATCAATTTAGAATGTGCTCATAAAAAACACCAAAACTACGCTATATTTAATTACCTTCATTAATTATGCTTCTTAATACAAGACAAAAATTTTATCTTACTAAATATTTATATTTGCTTCGGTCAATTTTAGTACCACATCCTATCAGAGGGTGCCACAAGTTTTCAGAAAACTCAGCTGTGCGTTCATCATGTATACGTAAAGCTTTTATTGATTACTTTAAGTATAAACATGGGCACGTATTCGTACCATCATCATCAACAATTCCACATAACGACAATACACTGCTATTTGCAAATGCAGGTATGAACCAGGTAAGCATTTCCCAGAATACAGTATTTTTTTTCAACACTTGAAAACTAATCAAGAAACTAGCAAGAATTTATTATTCATAGATTTTTAGGCTAAGAGCCCAAGAGCCATACAATAGCAATTACTGTATGAGCTGCAATCCACTTAACACAACAGAATCCAATACTGACATGACAGCAAGTGAATTGGTCAGACAGGATGAAGTAGAATATAGTATTAAAGTGTCTTAATATGCAAGGAAAACCTAAGATTAATATTGGTATTGAACAAGGAAGCATGAGCCTAATTCCATACAAATATGTCAATGCCTTTTCCTATAAAAAAGATGCTACATGATCTCCATTTAATAAATCTAATATAATGTTAATATGTTTCATTACATTCACAGTTCAAAGAAATATTTCAAGGCACAGTTTTTCCTGATTCAAGCATGTCTAAGTATAGACGTGTAGTGAACAGTCAGAAGTGTGTACGTGTTGGTGGCAAGCACAATGACTTAGATCAAGTAGGCCGAGATTGTTATCATCATACATTCTTTGAAATGCTCGGCAACTGGGCCTTTGTTGATTACTTTAAGGTAAAGTTTCGAAAACTTGCAGTTGATGTTTAATAAATGTATCAGACTTTGAATCACATCTATGTTAAATTGTACAAAGGTGTCCACCCACCTTCCTATCACAGATTTCTGGGATGAGATCACAGTTAAAATACAAGGATTTTATGACAACACCATTCAATACTTCTTGATAGTGGCATTGTTTGAAAAAAAAAGGGAAACATTGAAACTAAATATAAACCTTGATAATCACATTTTATTTAATATATAATGGTTAATGGTTTTAACAATTTTTTTTTGCGCAAAATACAAAGTCTTTATGCACTGTAAGCACAAGTGTATAGATTTTGGAAATGGGAAAGAATAAAAAATAAATAAAGATGAAGGTACCAAGCCAAGCCAGCACCCAAACCGCAGTATGGAGATACACAGTCTTTGCTAACCAGGGATTGATCTAATTGAACCCTGGTCAGCATTTGTTGAGTCTCGGCTATCTTGGACTGAGGCACCTCCAATCCCAATTAAAGCTAATAAAACTCACTGGCAATGAAATAAAACATAAATTATAATAAACTAAGACATAATGATACATAATTATATCATTTCATAAAATGTTTGTTCAGACTTATATTTCTTAAAGCATTTTCATTTTATTATGAAGTTATAAGTGTTTCCCTCTATTTACATAGTTAATATGAACTATTCAAATGTACAATTTGTTGCCTGCAGGAAGATGCAATTCACATGGCCTGGGATCTCCTTACCAATATTTTCAAATTGCCAGAGGACTGTTTATATGTAACTTACTTCAAAGGAGACAACCAATCAAGTCTTTCACCAGATTTGGAGACTAAAGCTATTTGGCAACAACTTGGGTAACAAATGTTATTTACACAAACTTGGGTTTATTTAGTTTGTATTTTTGCAATCATTATAACAAAAATGCAGTGTCTGACAACATAGTGTTAACATACAGTAAAGAAAATAGACATACTGATCTGATAATATTAATAATAATAATAATAATAATAATAATAATTATTATTATTATTATTATTATTATTATTATTATTATTATTATTATTATTATTATAATAATGATAATAGTAATAATAGTATTATTATTTATATTTTTCTATCACTAAATCTGTTTGGTTTATCACTGCATCCAGCTGGGACAACACACAGTTATTATTTTCTTGTCTTGCGCTGTGCCGTATGCCTTGTAGAATGCAGTGTGTACAGTAAATATATTTCCTAATTCATCCTCTGTCTGCCCTTTATGTTTTCCCTGGTAGAGTCTCTGATGGGATCCACTAGATTTAAGCAGACTATTCTCTGACAGCATGCTCAAACTGTGATAACTGAGCATTTGGCTGAGAGAGCTGAGTGAGTGGTACAGTACAGTTTCTGACTTTTACAGTTGTGTACCTGGAATACTCAGATAGTCTAAATGCACAACTTTTGTAATAACCCTCACAGGATAGATGGGCTGGTGAAGGGTCGTGTTTGTGTATTTTTATTATATGCTGTTAATTTACAGTTGTCAGGTGCTGTTGCACTGCTGCTGCCGCGGGTCCTAAGTGGGCCTAGCTCAAATTTCTAATAAAGAATGATTATTTTCATTAAAAATTAAAATGATTTGATTTTAAATTCTTAGGATGTGGTTTATATTTCCTTTGGTCCTTATTCATTCTCATTTGTAATTTTTTTTAATTATCAAATTGATTGGACAAATTGTATTTTGTATTAATTGCAAACTGATTTTTGAATTTTGAAGTAATTGACTTGTTTGTTAAGGGTTTTGTGGTCTTGTATGAAATTGTATCATGTTTAAATATGTTTTAAATAGATAAATAAAGATAAATGTTTAGATTCTCTCTGGCTGGCAACAACTGTTGCTGTATACATAATTGGTTCATGATGACTTCAAAACTCTATCTACATTTCACAGTTTACCTGAAGACAGAGTTTTACCTTTTGGAAGTAGTGAGAACTTTTGGGAGATGGGTAACACAGGGCCTTGTGGACCATGCACTGAGATTCATTTTGATCGCCTTGGAAACAGAGATGCATCGGCTTTAGTCAACCAGGATGATCCAGATGTCATTGAACTGTGGAACTTGGTCTTTACTCAATACGATAGGTTTGCCATTATTTTTATTTAGTCATTTGTTTTATTTAAGTATTTTATATATTTTGTCATATTATTTTAGGAAAATTATTCAATTGAAAATTCAAACACAAGGGTTTCTGATAACAATTTGGTTGCATAATCAATTGAACTACTGTATGAGGCCATATTATCCTATTTTTTTTATTTTAGTTATTGAATATATACCAAATTAGTAGGTTTTTTTTCATTATTTTGTGTTTCATTTCTATGTTCTATATATATGATGAACATTTAAACTTAATGATTTGAAAGTCAAAATGTTCCATAAACTTTAAAAGTACACTTTTGTGGTGATTTCACAACACATTATCAATTATTAACAGCTGACATTTTTAGAATTTTAAACATTGAATATGATTGGAAATAATGAAGCAACTGTTGTGTTTCTTTATAAGTTTTAATGCCTTGAAAAAGTATTCATTGCTCTCTCTATATTAGACAAATATAATTGAATTTGAAACTTCAACTTAAATGTTTTCACAATAAGTACTGTATACATAATATTAGTGTAAACACTAATCAAATGCAACCGCTGAATCTAAATCTGAATTGCCAATAACAGTGAGATCTATTAAGGTTGACATACACTACCGCCCATAAATAAAGCACATTTTGTATGTGATGGACGCATCTGTCTGCTTCCACAACACGTCCATTCAAAGCATACACCCACCAAATATTGTTATTTGGACGCACTCACATTTACCTGTAATTGTTTACCAATGTTGATCACGTCAAATTAACAGTTCCTATTCACTCCTATGCCGTTGCAACAGGGAAAACCTATAATTCTCGACAGTTAGTTGTTTTTGAGTCAGTTCGGACTGACGATCAAAATAATAAAAATGACAGTAGCCTAGCATAACAGATACAGTTGAATCCTGCTGGTTCCGCAGTTGATGATTTAAAATACAGAAAATATCACATTCTCTCACACTATTAAGTTATACTGAAGTCAGACAGTACTGCAGTATATTATGTTATGATTAATTATACTCCAGGTACAGTTAGGCTGTGGCTAGGCCTAGGCCTTGTGTAAAAATTGAAGATATTTTTTATTCAGAGGCAGTTGGTGCAGTACTAATCTATGCATCATGTTCCATGCAGCCTTGCACCGTGTCATGAAAACATGCTTTCGCGAGTTCATACAGTAGTTCACCAAACTACATGTACAGTCAGGTAGGCCGTCCAGTGAGTGACGATCGATTGGATACATCAAAGTTCTGAAGTCAATGCAACAGTACTGTAACGACAAGTCTGTCATAATTGTAATGTTTGGTTAATCAGCAATTAAACATTTGTATCTGAATATTATTGAAAAGAATTCAGCGAAGCTACTGTAGCAATAAATAACTTGTTATATTATTGTGTATATTTAATTATGACAATAATATGTATTTTAATAAATGTAATGAAATGTTATTTTAAAAACAACTTTAAAAGGAACGATTTCAATTGTTTTGCGCCGTCATCGACTGACAAAATTACCAAATCGGTATGTGCTATATAAACAGAAACGGTGAGCATGTTAAAAGCAAATCGGTGCATATAATGTTCAAAACAAAAGAAACATAAAGCATTATAAAGTACTCTCAATAGTGCTCATTTGAGTCCCTCTCTGTATAATCTCCAACATTTTGGAAATATTTTATCATTCGATCATGGAACTCAAAATCGGAAACATCGTTTAAGCAATTGATCCAGAAAGTGGCACCTGGCTAAGAGAAAAATGATAAAACCCAAGATTCACGTAGAAAGGATTGGCTACAAAACCCAATCCTTGATAGCGGAAATGAAAATAAGGCATCCAGAACTTAAACGAAGTGTGAAATGCAACTTCAGGGAACTTCCCAAATGCCTGTCAGTTGCGATTTCTACAAAGAGACTGCTTGCAGAATGTCCTGATAAGTGACCCGTTTCTGTGTGAGGTAAGTTAATATTTTAAAAATTCATTCAATATTGCTGTATTACTGTGTATGTGCATATAAATCTCGTTCAACACATGTATTTATAGGATATGGGCTATGGAAATTTATTATTTAAATTTTCTCTAAAATTATAGTACTGTTATGTGCATGTTAATTTATTCTCATTCACCAAAATATTTATATGATATAGGCCACAGAAATTTATATTAAAAGTTTCTCTAAAAGTATAGTACTGTACAGGTTGTCATAACTATTATCTATGTTACCTTGTTTAGTTTTCAATTTTATGTCATTGTGCTGTAGACCTATCTATCATGTGACTAATTTTCAAGAAAGTACTGTAAGCTTATTTATCTATATTTTAAATACAGGCAAAGTTTATGCAGGCCTGCTCTTATATTATTTGAATTTTTATTTTGATTTTAGGTTAACATCAAGGATAATGTAACAGTTTGTTACGAATATATTACACAATGACACGTTAGCGGATGAGGTGCATGATGCGAATGAGGATACGATGGCGGCAGGTACAGTTGATACTGCAGATGGTGCAATTGTAATAGCGTATGAGGTAGAGATGTGTGCGGATATTGATGAGATGGTGGTGGCGGCCTTTACGACTGTACCAGCGGTGTATGATAATGATGAGGAGGAGGAGAAGGGGGCAGAAGCAAGGGCCGGAGCATGATAAATTGGCAGTGAAGAAGAAAAGCGTAAACGGAAAGGTACTAAAAAGAAGAAAGGCAGTAGATACGCATTCAACAACAGGTAGGCCTATCTTACAATTAAATAGAACAAAATAAAAATACTACATTATTATTGTCGAATATAGGCCACATCACAAATGGATGAATATTCTTACACAAATAAAATTTGCCTTTAAAAATGTATTATACCGTACATTGCAGATTTAACCACAAAGTTAATTATGTGTAATAAAAAACTAAAACTTCAGGACAGAACACTAAAATGTGTACAAGGCAGAATTACAAAAAAACACTACTGGCCTATACAAATACTTTATTGGAGATTTTAGGGGATAGGTGGCTGTAATAAATTTTTTAAATGTCGGTGCTAGATTTGTTTTCTTTCATGTTTCAATTTATTTATTTATATTTTTTTCTATGTTGTTAATTGTTATCAAAATTATTAATTCTTGTTTGGTATGTTTTTTTCTTAGGAAGCTATCAACCTTCACAAACCTTGTCGGAGACCCAGCAAAAGTGACGAGCCGTATGAAACATTCACATATCCAGTGATTACTGAGGATGGAAGAGCTTCAGAAGGAAACAAATAAAGTGCTAACTACATCTCTATGGCTGCCAACGAACAATGCTAGCACCTGAGTAGACATGATGGAGCATAGAATAAGGCAAATAGAGGAATTACTGTAGTTGCATTGTTGGAAAGCAGCATTCAAGAAATTTCTCAGTTGCACCAGCAGCTAAACCTTCTCGAAAATTGACATGTCGTTTCAATTTCTGTAGAAAAAGTAAATCGGCCAGTGGTTAATAATAAGCCTAATGATGATACTGTGATACCAGATCAACTAAGGGTTAGATTGCTGCAATTTACCATCAATATGTTAAAGGTAGCCATGTTGCTCGTTAAGCATTTATTTACTTTTGAAGAAAGACTTAACAGTTACGTAAATGGTAGGAACGGTGCATTAATTCTAGATCCTAGACAAATAGGTATTGTGAAAGGGAAAACCTTCAACATTTTGCTGGCACCATTTTGTGATGTTGAAAGGTTATGGAAAAAGTGTGTCATTTAAAATCAAGACTGAAGGTTCAATCAAAATGTCTGAATGTCAGTAGGGTTTAATCCAAATAAAATTAAGTAATCTGATAATATATGTCTAGGCCTAATTTGTAACATTGTGTTTGTCTTTTGGTGTATATATATATATATGAGATATATGATGGCTACTCCATGATTCGTGCTGATCGATTGGATCGAGGAGGTGGAGGTATTATAATGTATATCAATGAACTTATTCCTTTTAAACAATGGACTGAACTTAAAACTGAGAACATTGAAAGCATTTTTGTTACAATACGACCCAAATGCTTACCTAGATCTATTAGTAACATAACTATTGCTGCTGTGTACCATCCCTCTCCCTCTAGCGCCAATGATTTCATTATGTGTAATCACATTTCGAATAACCTTGACTTTATCCGCACTAAGCATCCTGATACCGGAATTTTCATACTAGGAGACTTCAATAGAATGAAAGATGCTCAACTGAAGCAATTCCCGTTAAAACAGATTGTTAAGGATTGCACTAGGGAAAATGCTATACTGGA